TCAGGGTAGTCTGGTCAGCAAGTGCAAAACCATAGCTTGGTAGCTCTGGCTGATGGGCCCCATAGTGGAGAGGACATGGTACCATGTCAGTTTGCAGATTCCTGTGCCAGTCTGTTACAGAAACCACCTTGGCTCTTTGGTCTTTGTGTCCCTTTAGTCCCTGACAGCCCTTCTGTCCCACATGTGCAAGAGTGTCAAGGTGAGCCTCTGGTTATTGTTGGCTTGTGGCCCTCTTTTTTTTTTTTGGTACTGGGGATTGAACTCAGGACCTTGTACTTGCCAGGCAGGCGTGATGCCACTGAGGTACATCCTCAGCCCCTGACCCTCTTATTCTTGTTGCCCATGTTGGGTAGACAAGGCTGTATCTTCCTCATAGGACCTGTGGCGGATCCGCAGCCCCTGTGGGAACTGTGAAGGCTTCGATGTGCACATTATGGATGACATGATTAAGGTAGGCTGGGGCATAGCTCCAAGCACTGCCCCACTGCCCTTGCCATATGGCTACAGGCCTCTGGCAGGGACCTGGTTTGGGCAGTGGAGAGCTGTGTGCAGAGATCTTTGCTGATTGCGGCAGCAAGGTCAGGTGCTGCCGTTTTGCTGGTTCACATGAGCATTCATCTGAGAACTGTTGTGTGTACCTGGCCTCTTCCTGGCCTCATACAGTAACTTCTGAATTGGGATCTTGGTTGGCCTAAGGTCTGTGTGTTACCACACCATTGCTGCCAGTGCCAGAGCTTGTTTTCTGTTGGGGGAACCATGTGTAAGGAGGCCCCTGCAGGCTTATCTGTGTAGTAGATGTTGGCAGTTACCTGAATGTTCAATAGCAGTGGATGAGCACCAGGATCTGCACCTGAGAACCCAATGCAGCCATGACAGCAGCCGTGGTATGTGGCTCTGAGGACTGAGGTGGAGAGTGCTATAGCACGCCCATGTGAGGAGAGCAGGGCAAGGGGCATGGGTCTGTTTTTATGGTTAGGAAAATTCCCATACACACACACACACAAAAGTGAGTAGGATAATGGACACCACAGTGTTAGTGGTGCATGTAGAAAGTGGTGACCTTTTGCTCTCTTTTGCTTATTGTTCAGTGTATATTTTTTTGTGTGAACATAGATTGCTGTGCACCCCCCCCC